GATTTGATCTTTAAGCCCCTCACATTCTTACTATGCACTCCACAACCGTGATATTTGGTACCAGGTATTAGATGGAGCACAGAAATAGCTGTTTTAAATTTTATCGAAATCGGTTCAGATTTGGATATAGCTCCCATATATATCTTCATCCGATTTCGGGTTAAATGTGCACCAAATGTCCACTATCAGTCCAAATCACCTGAATTTTGGCACACCCAACCGAGTTCGGCCAAGAAGCAAGTATATCAAATTTGGAGAAAATCGGTTCAGATATAGCTATAGCTCCCATATATATCTTTCATCCGATTTGATCTTTAAGTCCCTCACATTCCTACTATGCACTCCACAACCGTGATATTTGGTACCAGGTATTAGATGGAGCACAGAAATAGCTGTTTTAAATTTTATCGAAATCGGTTCAGATTTGGATATAGCTCCCATATATATCTTCATCCGATTTCGGGTTAATTGACCACCAAATGGCCAATATCAGCCCAAATGGCCCGAATTTTGGCACATGTGACCGAGATTAGCCTTAAAGAAAATACAACAAATTTGGAGAAAATCGGTTCAGAAACAGCTATAGCTCCCATATATATGTTTTATCCGATTTGGTGTTTAAGCCTCTCACATTCGTAATATGCACTCCACAAGAATGATATTTGGTACCAGATATAAGATACAGCCCAGAAATAGCTGTTTGTAATTTTATCGAAATCGGTTCAGATTTGGATATAGCTCCCATATATATCTTCATCTGATTTCGGGTTAAGTGTGCACCAAATGGCCGATATAAGTCCAAATGGACTGAATTTTAGTACATCGGACCAAATTCAGCCTTGAAGCAAGTATATCAAATTTAGTGAACATCGGTTCAGATATAGATATAGCAACCATATATATGTTTCATCCGATTTAGTGCTTTAGTCCCATACATTCGTGATATTCACTCCACTACCATGATATTTGGTACCAGGTATTAGATGGAGCACAGGAATAGCTGTTTTAAATTTTATCGAAATCGGTTTAGATTTGGATATAGCTCCCATATATATCTTCATCCGATTTCGGGTTAAATGTGCACTAAATGGTCGATATCAGCCCAAATCACCTGAATTTTCGTACATAAGACCGAATTCAGTCTAGAAGCTAATACGTAAAATTTGGAGAAACCCGGTTCAGAGATAGCTATAGTTCGTAAAATGCACGATAAAATTAGATAGATTTTGATTTTGTACCAAATATCATAGAGCTCTGAAATGCCCTGTATAAACCTTTTTACGAGAGCTCTACTAAATATGCATAGTGGTGTAGGGTATCATATAGTCGGCCCCGCCCGACTTTTGAGCTTTCCTTACTGGTTCAATCTCGATTGGCCTCAATTGTCAAAGTTCTTCTCGAATTTGGGTCAATTTCTTATTCTCATGTTAAAGGTGTTTATGTAAGAAATGCTACTGCAGCGTCACTGTAGCTTCCACTGAACATACCCCATATATACACTGTTGTTTGTTACTCTCTTTCTCTGGTTATGCTACTTGTAGAGAAACCGATATTGATATTAGCAATACCGTAGTAAGTAGCACAAATATGAATAGAACAAGTACAGCAACAATCACACAACAGAGAGAAAAAGAGAAGCATCAGGGAAAGGAAAAAGTAAATTTGGCCATGTAATTCGTTTTTTTTTTTTTTCAAATTTTATGAAGACATTTTTGTCTTTGGCATCATATTTTATTATTTTGTTTTTGTAAGAGAATTTTGCAAAAACTCACATAAAGTTGGGGTTTATCCATAAATATTTATCAATTACTGGCGTTTAGTAAAGTTAAGGATATTTGATGTATTTTGAGACCTACAGTTAAATTTATTGACAAATAATTTTGTAGAATATTTGGACAGGGATCACGATATCGTGAAAGGGAGTTTTCAACCCATAAAGGTCTTTTGAGGATTAAATTTTTCGATAAAAATATTTCTGGATTTATTATTAGTAGTATTAGCAAACACTATACTCCTAGTAAAAAATTATGTCAAAAAATATTAATCCGTAAACTTTCCCGCTCTACTTGCGATGAAAATATTTCGTGAAAGACTTGATTGAAAGAATTTTTGTTAACAAAAGAAGTGGATATTGTCAAAATTTGATTTCAAGAGGACGGCGCTATGTAGCACATACGCGAATATACACATAATAAAAAAAAATATTTGTCTGACCCTATATTTTTAGAAATCAAAGTGGGCAAGAATTCTTGAATTAAACAAAAAAAAATTAATTCTTAAAATATTTTCCTTTTCGTGGAATATCAAATTTCAATCCAATATTTAACATGTTATGTATAAAGCTAATACTTTGGGGAATTTCGACTCCCCATTTCGGTTAAAGAACCTACCAACCCAAAGTACCATCAAAATAACCATGATTTATAAGGCTGCTAAAAATTAAAGAAAATACTATATGAATAATTAAATATTTTCTTTTTTAAAAATTGGCAAACACCAGCAACAGAATATTGAAGCAAATGTGGTTTAGATAGAAAATTAATAAAACCAACAATCTCGGGGTCAAAACCAACAAACTCGGGGTCAACAACAATGTCTGTACCGCATTTACTTCAATATTCGATATTTCGTATTTTTAAAATTGAAAAAAAAAATAAACAAAAAATTTTCAAATTTTGTAAAATAAAATAAGACAAATAAAGCATAATGATTTTAAATCAAAAAAAAATATTTCTCTATTATTTTTTTTATTTTTCACATTATTCCACTGCTTGTTTTCGGAACAAACAATTGTCATTGAAACATTGATTTATTTGTACATATCCGTCCGTTACATATTTCCGTTTCAAAATTTTGTATTAAACCACAACAAAGGCGGTGGCATGCAAAACAATCAACGATAGATTTGCAAATTCATTGGAATGGCTATTATGTTATTAACAGCATGTAAACATCGGCACCCTCTAACTAACAGTGTATGGTGGGTGTTAACAGTTCCGTTTAATGTTCAAGGACATGTTAACACAACAATTCAATTAAGAGCTACACAACACTGCTATTCAATACTTCTACTACAAACAAACTAACCAACAAAACAACAATATATGTGTTCATTTTTAAATTATTAATTATTAACTTATTTAGCAATAATTGTAAATAATTAAAAAAAATATTTATGCAATAAAGAAAGACATAAAAAACAACAGCAAACTTAATAAGACTAAATAGTTTTTAAAAAGCGACAAATTTTTAAAATTTGACTAAACATAAACAGAAAACAGAACTAAAATACCACAATTACGAAATTATTTATGCGACAATGATGATAACCTTATAAAGCAAAGACAAGGACAAAATTAACTCAAACAGTATTTGAAAATACCACGAGTAGTATTAAAATAATTAATTAATTAATTAAAAAACGACAATTAATTAAAACAAATCAAATTAAGCAAAACTGACATAGAAACTATTAGTGTTTTTAAGGAAGAAGAACAACAACCAACGTAAATATAACTAGTTTATTGAATTACATATGTATGTGGTATGTGAACCTATATATATATTTGTGTATGTATGTAGTATGAAACCAAACAAACATAACAGTTCAAAACGAAATGTGCTTAATATTTAACGAAATATAAAATACAAAACTACACAAAAAAAAAAAATAATTAATAATTTCAAAACAAGAAAAAACAAAATAAAAAGTATGGTGAGTTTTGAAAAATTCCAATCCAATTCTATCTAGATCATTGATTTATGAAATTCAAAACACAACAAATGAAATATTGAATTTTTTAATAGTGTATGATCAAGTTACACTGCCTTTAACTTGAAAGTTTTAATTTTGTATGAAGGAAGGCGCAAGCACTCAATTTCTCATTTTCAGGGATTTTTTGCCAATTTCCAATCTCGATCGGCCGCAATTTTCAAAGTTCTTCTCAAATTTGGGTCAAATTGTTGCTATCATTTGATGTTTATATGAGAAACGTGTTTATGTGAGAAAAGCTACAGCAGCATCAATGTAGAGTTTACTGAACATACCCCACATTAACACTGTTCTTTGTTACTCTCTTTCTCTTGTTATGCTAATTGTGGAGAAACCGATATTGGTCAGTAGCACAAATATGAATAGAACAAGTACAGCAACAATCACACAACAGAGAGAAAGAGAGAGAGTTGTGAACTTTAAGGTAAATAGAATTCGAGAGTACAAAACAGTATTTTAAATGAGTTGAAGCGTCAGTTCAAGGAAAAAGTAGATAAAGTCAATTTGGCCATTCCATTTTTGGAACCATCGAGAAATATTCATTGGAACAGTAAAAAAATAAGAATTATCACTAATAAATAAGTATTTATTGGAAAAATATACAGGAGCAAGTGGAGGATAAGTAAAATAAGTATATTTTAATAGTGAAATGACATTGCGAATAATGGATTTTACTTTTTTATTCAAAATTCAGAAATTTTTGAAAAAATTTTGGTTCAATTTTAATTTCTTACAAATCGAAGAATTTTGTCCAGGAGATAACTGTACTTCGTGCCTAAACATAATATATTTTCCACACAAAATGTCGACCACTAAGCCGTTTTTTCAAAATTTCGATTTCAAAACTCACCATATTTTTGTTACACATATTGTATATAGTTAGGATTTTATAACATAATAATATAAAATACAACTAAAACAAAAACCTATATTATATCATTTAATTATGTACATTGTCTGTTATTGTTGTAGAAATTTGTTTTTGGCTAAAAGAAAAAAATATTTAACTAATTTTAATTTTTTATTTTATTTTTTTTTTTGCTTTTTTCTGTTGACAATTTTTGCATTCATTTGGTTTGATGGTTTTATTTGCAAATATTGCGTGCTGCTGGGTGGCACATCTTTGGCTGACCTTGAAACGACTTTGCAAAATATGGCATGGCTTGCCTTTTATGTCGCTAACACTGAACACGCTGCGCAATTCACAAAACACCACTTGCACTTGCAGTAATTAATTCGCAAACTACAAACAATGATAATCCCAGTGCTCCACCTGCGCCCAGTGCTCCGGCCTTTAATACTGGCGGTTCGGGCGGTCATAGCTTGTATCCCAGTTTGCCGAGCGATAATCGTGGCTCTATGGGTGGTGGCGGCGGTTATCAACCAGGCGGTTACAATCCAGGTGGTTATGTGCCACCAGGCTATCAAGGTGGTTATGGTGGTTATACTCCCCCAGCTCCAGGTTATGGCGCACAAGGTGGTTATGGTGGTGGTCATGGTGGTTATACTCCTCCAGCTCCGGCTCCCGGTCGCAATCCCACCAAAGAAAAAGAAGGTGGTGGTGGTTTCTTCTCCAATTTCCTATCCAGCCCTGAGGTACGCAACGCTGTGACCGGTATTATTGCCGGACAAATTGCAAATACTTTGAGAGGTGGTGGTAATCAACAACCCAATCAACCCAGTGGCGGCTATCAACCTAGTGGTGGTTATACACCAAGCGGCGGTTATGGTTCTGGTGGTGCTGGCGGTTCATCAGGTGGCTCTTCTTCGGGCAGTACTGCCTCCAATATTTTGGGTGGTTTGTTGGGTAATGTTTTGTCTGGCGGCGGTGGTGGCGGCAGCAGTGGTGGTAGCAGTGCCAGCAGCTTTTTGGGTAGCCTTTTGGGCGGTGGCGGCTCCAGTGGTGGCCACAGCAGCTCTGGTGGTCTGGGAGATATTCTATCTTCCAAGAATTTCGGTGGTCTCTTCAGTGAGAATCCCTCCAAATCGGGTTCCTCTTCTTCCTCGTCCAGCTCGAGCGGTGCCAAGAACTACCCCACTCAACCACCAGCATATGGCAACTACATGGGATACAATGGCTAAAGAAAAACAAAAACCAAAGTTTGAATTTTCCCTTCGCGCAAAATGAAATATATTTTGCCCAAAAATTTATAATCGTATTTTATAACAATTTAATTTTTTTTTTTGGAGTTCTACTAACATTTGTTTTTTCCTATTTCTTAGTTAAATATATATTTCTTCCCAAAAAAAATAAATAAATAAAACTAATAACTAAATATAAATATATACCAACAACTACATACTCCTACAATTTAAACAGAGAATATACAATTAAGAAAGATAAATAAAAACAATTATTTTTATTGAAAAAAAAAAACAGAAAATCCAGAAACCGAGACCCTAACCAAAATCCGTAATCAATGTAACTATGAAATTCTCAGACCATATAGAAACTGTGTACATAACATAACTCAATCTTCCGATACTCTTGAAAAACATTCCATAGACATTTTTAGAATAAAATGAATAAATAAAAATAAACAATAAAAAAACAATCACAAATAGAAAACGTGTTCTTTTTTGGTAATTTTTGGGTGGAGGAGGTGGGGTAAGTAAGAACAGGAAAAATACCACTTTTGAGTTGGCTTTATTTGAAATATTTTCTTACATTTCAGTGCAAATTGCAGCAAGTATTAATTGAATAAATAAAACAAAAACTAACGAAAATTGTGTTTTATTAACAATTATTTGAGTAAGTAAAAAACAAATAAAAAACAAGTAAGCAAAGACTACAGTCGAGCGGGGCCGACCGTACAACACTATAATAAGCGATACAGATTATATAGGCGAGATACTCGAAAGAATTCCACAAGATATTGTGACAAATAATAAAAGAAAACCATCAGGTTTCGTTCTCTAATTTTCTCGAATAATGGCAACTTTAACTAATTTGCTCATTTCCAATTTATTGCAAGATGTTGCACGTAAATGGTCTTCCTAGATCTGGAATCAATATTTCCCAAAGTGGCAAAAGATTAACATTTGTTACTGGTTTTTGACTGAAACGCATCTATATGAGATACAGCCATTTGACTATATTCTTCAACGAAATCAGCGTTAACGAAATAGTCAGAAGTGCGTCTTTCCTGTATTTTTGAATTCTCCAAAGATTGTCATTCAAAACTGCTTGGCTTTTGCAATGTCTGGTAACCCCCATTCAAATGTGCGTGAGGGTCGGGCGATAATTACGACCTGCTGACAATTTTGCAGTTTTTTTGTCCATTTCAACCCCTAAATATATGGCGACCATCTCCAAAAAGAGAAGGCTTCTATTCTGATCCTCTTCTTATCCCCATGCAAAATTTCGTAAGGATCGGGCCATAAATGCGATCTGTATATGATATACTGATATCCTAACTACTTAGTTTTGTTAGCTGTAGAAATTTTACTAAATGTTTAATTCAAAATGAAAATATGCCAAAAATATGACAAAATTGAAAAAATATGAGAAAATTTTACAAAATCAATATTTTCATCTTTAGAGAGATATTTTTATGCGATTTTAGCCGTTTTTTCTTTCCTGCCAAAAGGTCATTCTGAATTAATGAGAACTGTCGTAATCAGTTCAGCCGTTCTCGACATATAAGAGATCTTCCAAGCATATCTTCTTTGATAGACATATATATCGCACATATTTTGCTATATATCCGATTTGTTGGATGTTAACATAAATGTAAAGATCAGAAGTAACCTTGTCATGGCTTTGTGATTTCGCCGGGATTTAAAATATTCGCGGTTTAATAAAAAATGTTGAATTTTTTCAACACAAAATATATGGTCTATTTTACCCGCTAAATATTATCCGATGACCACCCTAATTGGTAGGCTTCTTCCCCGCCCCAAACTCTAGCTACATACGAAATTCCGCGTCGATTGGTCTATAATAGCGACCAGTATAGCTACTGCAAAATCCGATATTTTTTCAGTATTTGGTCCACTTCAACACTTCAACCACTAAACATTTGGAGATCATCTCCAAAAGAAATAGGCTTCTATTCTGACCCTAACCCCACCTCAATTTTAAATTTCGTGAAGGTCGGACCATAATTGCGACCTGTAGAGTGATTACAAATTAACATGGACAGACGGACAGATGCACGGACGGACATACATAGCTAGATCGACTCAGCTCGGCGAGCTAGGAAGATCTATATATACTTTCCTATATGGGAAACCAATATTTCGAGGTGTTACATAAATTCTGGCCCAATCAAACTTATAATACCCCCAACACATAGTGTTGTAGGGTATAAACATTAAGTTCGGCCGGACCAATTTTTTAATACCCTCTACCTTTGGGTAAAGAAAATACTTTATATAATACCAACTTTTAGACAAATATATGGAAAAATGTGTAAAAATCATTAAAATACTGAATATCGGGAGGTACCATTATATGGGGGCTATACAAAAACGTGGACCTATACATACAATGTTTCGCCAACGGAGCTAAAACCCACTTCGAACTACAAATACCAATTTTTGGAGAAATCCGTGGAAAAATGTTGCAAAACTCGTCAAACTACCAAATATCGGGAGGTACCGAAATAGAGGAGGCTATATAAAAAATGAACATACATACAATGTTTCGCCAGCAGAACTAGAATCCACTATAAACTACGAATACCAATTTTTAGACAAATCCGTAAACAAATGTGTCGAAAATCATCGAAATACCGAATATCGGGCGGTACTGTTATATCAGGGCTATACGAAAACGTTGACCGATATATCTCACTTTCAATACCAACCATCCTAGACACAATACACATTGTTCTGCTAAATTTTGACGCTTACCGTCAAATAATGTGGGCTGTATCGTGATTTTAACAGACAGACGGGCATAGTTAAATCGACTTAGAATTTTATATATGGGAGCTATATCCAAATCTGATCCCATATCGGTAAAAAATTTGACAGAAGTACCAACACCAAATCGGATGGAACATATATGTGGTAGCTGTACTATATCTGGACCGATTCATCAAATTTTAGAATAAATTTAGATTTGTTCGAATTGGTCACCTTTGGCACGAATTATGGCCTTCAAACGGCCAATGAAACCGTCACACGCTGCCCAAATGTTGCTCTGCGGTATTTTGGCCCATTCCCGGCGAAGCGCTTTCTTGAGGTGATCGACACTTTGGTATTTTTTAGTGCCAGCCTTGCTTTCCAAAATACTCTAGACACAATAGTCCAACGGATTGGTAGATTGGTATCCGGGGATTTTAATGGCAATTCTGCGCTGGAAATGAAGCCTCATTTTGTAACCATTCAGAGTGCGATGGTGCTGAGTCCTGTTGGTATGTCCTGGATCTGCGGCCAAAATGTTTGCGTGCCCAAGGCTTTAATACACCCTCCAGAATATTTTCGCGATAATATTCGACTTTTATTCTGATGCTACAGTCGATTAAAACGAGTGGAGGGCAACCATCGGCTGTTATGGCGGCCCACACCATCACCATGGCCGGCGCTTGAGTTCTGGTGGCCAACCGAAGGTGCACATTTTTAGCTGACCTCTTTGGCAAGTTAACACGATCATCTTGTTTGTTTACAAATTGCTGGACAACGAATGTTTTCTAATCGGAGAAAGCCAAATTCAGCAGCTCACCTATTTCGGCCAAGCGAAGCAACTCTTTAGCTCTTTTGAGTCTATTTTCTTTCTGTTGCTGTGTAAGTTCTTGCATTTTTTTGGAATTTCAATGGCTTTATCCCGAGCTCATTTTTCAATTTTTTCCCAATGGAATATTGCGATATGTTCAGCTCACGAGCCATTTTTCGGTCACCGTGACGTGGGTTTCGATCAAGTCGCCTCTTTACTTTTTCGAACCATTTCTGCTGATGTTGCTGTTTTCTTCTGTCCACTTCCTTGACGTCGGGCTACGATACCAGTATCACGGTAACGGGCGATGGTACAAGACACAAATGATTTATTCACATTTAAATGCTGTAGTGCTCTAACGATAGCCACTTGTGGTTTTCCAGCCAAATATAAAGAAATCGCACTATCACCCTTGAATTCAATCACGAATAATTTTTTTTCTGGAAAATTCTCACCGAAATGCTCTTGTACGCTTTTAAACAACATAATGAGCTGTTACTGGAATAATTTTAACAGCTGTCGGAGGAGTGGCTTAGAAATGACAGCAGTCAGAAGTTGGATGCAGTTTTTTCACCTCACTCTATGAAAACCTGGACCAATATGGCCCATTTACGAAATAATCAGCCTACTAACAAAATACAGATGTGTGCAAAATTAGTAACCAAAGAGACATGGTGGATGTTAGGTAAACAATTAAAAAAGCAGCTAAGTTCGGGCCGAATTTTTATACCCTCCATCATTTGGAAGGAAGTTGAAAAATTTCCTTAAAATTATCAAAATACCCAATATTGGGAGGTATCGTTATACGGGGGTAAAAAATGTGGCTAACATCATCAAACTACCGAATATCGGGAGGTACCGTTATATGGGTGCTATGCGATATCGTGGACTGATATATTCGGAAGGAGCTTCTTGTGTGGACTTTCAGACAATTGAAGTAAAAAATGTAGCTAAAATAATGAAAATACCGAATATCGGACCCCTATTTGGATGCTATACGACATCGTGGACCGATATAGTCCATTTTCGAACTTGGCCTGCCTGCAGACAAAAGACTGATCAGTCCATAATTTTAGCTTCCCATCCTAAGTCGTTTTGACTCTAGCTTGATTACAGCAGACGGACGGATAGGGCTAAATCGTCCGAGAATTTTACGCTGATCTCGAATATATATACCTTGTTAGGACTAAAATTATTATTTCGATGAGTTACATACGGAATAACGAACTCAATATACCCTTCATACTATGCATGGTAGAAGATAATAGGTAGATGCATCGACACAGCTGCTGGGACAATGAACTATCAAACCAATTTTGGAATTGAAAATGTTGAATGAAAAATTATTTAAATTTTTAAAAATTGTTGAAAAACGCGAATTATAATAGCCTTCGAATGACGTAGTATAAGAAAACATATAAAAATCTACTTATATTTGAAAAAACTTTTGAATTTTATTGGCATATCAATGCTCCCAAGCGTTGATGCATCTACCTGTATTCTTCTGCCATGGTGTGGTGGAGGACATAAGAAGTATATGATGCCGGTTAAATATGAACCGAAGAGCCTGTGTTCATGAAAACACCCAGCCGCTTTAAACACTTGCCAAATACAATGTGTGTCTGTCTATTGTGGCGCTTCAAGGGACGTAATTAGATTTGGTTTCCATCCACAAGTTTTATTAAATAATTTCCATTTTGAATAAATTCAATTAGATTTTTTTATTAAATTTTCAACTAAATCAGGCGTTTTGGAAATTGACCTTTGCAGTAGCAGCAGCAGCTAAAAAACACAAACAACAAACAAAGGTTACAACAACACACAGCAAAACAGTGCCAATGCCTATCAAATAATTTGCATATTGTGCGGTTTTTTAGGTTTCTTTTATTTCAAACTTTTTTTCACAAACACCGACTGTCCGAAAAGAAGGAGTCATTCACACCCGGACATGGTGGCAACAATCAGGCACATCCGTGCACACACACACACACACAGCCAACCAGTCATCCAACAAACAAACACCAACAGATTTAACCCACTAAACTAATTTCTAACCATATTTTTGGTTGTGTTGTTGTTGTTATTGTAATGCTATAACAACAAATTCAAACCAGTGTCATACTGCAGTACAAAAGCACAGTGTGAAAAGAGCAGCAAAAGCGACAACAAAAACAAATCATTGGCGCGGAACTACGGAACGCACGTGTCGTTCCAAAAGATGAATCCGGGCCAAAGCTCTAGCTATACAGATAACAAAAAATTTCCAGAGCTAGTGTTGCCACATCATTCAAAGTTGTTATCGTAGACAAATTATGGTATCGGTCCTAGAAGTTTTTCTTCTCGTTTTTAACAGATGTCGCCCAAAAGGTTTCTGCATAGACTAATGAATACGAATAAAAACAAAGACATATACTACTGAAGCTTTCTGAACTAAAGCTTTCAATATCGTTTGCTAACAGATGTCGCAGCATCAGTCTAGCACGGGGCAAAGACATAAAACTATAAAGATTGGACAAAATGCATATGTAAAGACATAAAACTATAAAGATTGGACAAAATGCATATGGGCTTTAATTCTTCAATCAGGTAACAGATGGCAGGCGACATAACAGAAATGCATTGGACATTTTATAAAAATATGTTACTCCAAAATCGCCGAAAAATGATAGAAAAATTAAAGCTCATATGCATTTTGTCCAGTCTTTATAGTTTTATGTCTTTGGTCACATCTTATATTATATGTCTTTGTTCCCATCTTATAACCTACACCACAAGGTGGTCAGGGTATTATGTTTTTGTGCACTTGTTTGTAACAAGGTACAGTTCGCATTTATTGCCCTATCCAGATGAAAATTTGCACAAAGACGAACCCTATTGAAATTGGAGATAATCGGTCAAAATTCAGATATAGCTCCCATATATATCTTTGTCCGATTTGCTTTTTATTGTGCACGAAATATCAGCTCGAATAGTATGGGATTTTGCACATACAACCAAATTAGGCCTGAAAATAAGTATGCCAAATTTTATCGAGATCGGTTCAGATTTGGATATGTTGCGGGCCTTGTAAACGAAAAATCCCAAGTCGACAGCAAAAAAAAAATTTACGTGGAAGGGCCTTAGAAAGTGGCCTTTTCGCCTACATGGTGGCCACCAACCATGAAAAACCACTAGCTTCCAGTATGCGCTAGAGTTGGGGAAGCCAGCGGTAGCTATAATGAACACTCCCGGATGGGCAGGCCACTGTAATGCCTCTCGTGACCGCCGTGTTCACTAAGTTTTTTTTTGTTTTCTTTTATGGGGGAGTTAATAATGGAGACACCTGGGCACTGAAAAGGGGGTAAACATAGTGCCAAGTATGTTTAGCCATGCCCAGGTGCCGTTTTGCTTGTTTTTTTGATTCGTTGGGGTGTAATGGTTTGTCGTTGCACCCTTTATAAAATATGGGTGGACAACTGGATTGTCATGCCATCAATCCATTGCCCACACCGATCGAAAGCCCAACATGTGAAATACAGGAAACAATATTCTCCATCATAGGAAAACCAAATAAACGCTGGGGAATACTTGCTTCTATTGAAAGAATTTAATGTTTCCTGCATCTCATCATGGGGGCCATACCTGCAAGAAAAAAGCTGAAAAGAAAGAAAAAAATATTAATAAAAATTTTAATAATTAAAACTGGAACGATACCGCTTGGTGTTGGCTGTTGGTGTTTTGCGTGATTTTGACTTCTTAGTAATTTTGACATTTGGGTCATATGGTGAATCTAAGTCTCCAAATTTTAGGAAGTGTTCGGACAAACGAAAGATCCGTGTCGGCAAAACAGAGCGTAGAAAAATTGAATGATACTGTATTATCGGCAAAAGGGGATGTTTTTAAGAGTGAAAGTTACTCTTAAAAGGTTCGGAGAAAATGGGATTTCAGAATGTTGCAAAGGGTTTGTTGCAGATAAACCTAGAGGGGGACGACTGGTTTTAGGAAAAAAGGGACAAATCTTGAGGGCTAGGAAAATGGCTAGTAATGGAAAGGAACCATTTTTGTTCCCGAACCTATAAAAGGTAGTACTGATGGGAAAAACAGATTAGTTATTTAGTGGTGTTGAGCTAAAAAGCCTTTTTTTTTTGGAACATATAATCGAAATATATTGACATTTTTATTTGTGAAAAAAATCTTTTGTTTTGTGAAAAGAAAAAAAAAATAAACGTGTAATTGGTAATTAGGTAAAAATATTTAAATTAAAAGAAAGGAAATGTGCAAACACATTAATAATTATGATATATTAGGTGACTGGAGGGAGGAGAGAATAAGCCTTAAGTGTCAAAGGTTAATTAAACCGTTTCTTAAATATACTCCGACAAACAAATAAGGTAAGAAAATGAAGTGCTAGGAATGGACAGAAAAATATCCAACGTAACCATTCTTGTTTTATTCGGCAGGTCGGAGTCGGGTACAGACAGCGATATCTTGTGGGCAATATTCACATTAACACCACTGACCGACATTTGTACTTAAAGTGGTAAGTCAACTGTACCCAACGATATAGTGTCACCCGAGTACCATCTATGGGTGGACTGACACATTGAATTAACTCTCCACTCGTCAGTTAAAGCTCAGCACCCAGAAAATACCCAATATATTTCCAACTTTGATTCTATGCTGTGAAGTCTCCAACCTGTTTTTTTTTTAACGTCACAGTGTTCCGGGATTACATATAAACCTCTAACTATTTAAGTAATTCCAACGCAACGAATTCTTATTCTGACTAATGTTAAAAGGTTGCGGATGTGACGAAGTATTATTAGACTTCATCAGGATTTGAATGGTCGTAGAGGTGACCCTGGAGTATAAGACATATTGACAATTACAAACACATACAACACATTAACACATCACGAATTTTATTAATTTTTTTTTCGACAACCAATTTTCATATTTTAAAGTTTTTTTTTATTTATTCCTCTATGTGTATTTATTGTTTATTTGAAATTTATTTATGTGATCTACTGTTAGAGTTAGGTATATCAACTTAAATGTTTTATTGAGTTTTTATTTGGACATTATTAGTTTATGTTCCTAGTAGGCAAGTTTTGAAACTATTCGTCGGATCCCCTTTGAGTCCAGGTAGAAAAGAGCTCTTTTTTTTTTGGTGACGTTAGGGTGGGTCGTATATTCGATAGTATAAAGCTTGTTTATTAGAGTAATTCTGTGTTTTGATCCTTATTGGATATTGTTTAGAGTTCGTCCAAAGGACTAAAGAAAACATTATAGTTATTTTCTAATCTGGTCAAAAGACCGTTCGTATAAAAAAGGTTAAAAAAAGAGAAATAATTATTACTTTGCTCTATACTCTTTTAACGAGTTATTTTTATTATTAAAGTTTAATTTATATTTTTTTTTATAATTTTATCAATACAATTTTTTTGTTAGTTTTTTTTTTATATATTAGTTTTAATGTTAATTATAATAAAATGACTTAATGTATGTTTAAAGAAAGAAAAAGAATGAGGATGTGTTAAAGAGTTATTAAGGAGGGAATAAAAGGGAGGTAAGTGGTGTGGGATTGTGCGGAAAAAGGGGTCATCAGGACAATAAAAGGAAGAGATGATCAAAGGTAGGGAGGGCGGCTAAATGGCTCGTGTGTCAACAGACGTTATGGATTTGGATGGTATCATGTTCATCATTATAGTGTTGTTCTTTTGTTGGTGAATTCCCATAGTTTATTGTTGTTGTTCCTGAGCCGGATGTTGGGATGGGACTCACCCCAATGGGAGTCGGCAGAGCTGGTCGGCGATATCAAGACATCTCAGGCTGCCTAAGAGGGACACATAACAATATGGCGCCCAAACCAAAGAAACCATAGGGTTTGTAGAAGTTAGGAAGTGTATTCCATCGAGACACTTGGAAATAGACCACTAGAAGTAAAAGAAAATAGACCAACATTACTACTTTGCGTTTGGAACGACGAATTCAAAGGGTTTTTGTAGCCATTCTGGACAGGTGCCAGAACTTGATGTACAAAAACGTTTGGAGCCCGTGTTTTACATGGAAAGTATGTGATGAAAAATACAGACCAAGATAGTTTGTGACCCGCCGATCAGAAGGTTAAGCGGTTTCGCACAAATTATCTTGGATAGATGGTAGAGAATAGTATCCGTTTGAAATTTAAAAGTGACACAGATTCATTAACAGGGTATCCGCTCTGGATTTAACCAGAGGACAGATGTATCCGTTTAGATGATCTGGGAAAGCTGTAACGTCTTCGGTGGGAGGCGTTATAGTGCACGTATTAAATTGTTGTTTTTTTATTTTAATTTTGTGTTAAGGTTTGATTGATCCATCAGTTCCATAAAGGCCATAATAGCCTGCAACCGCACACACCACTCCTCTCCGAAAAAAACCTCCTGTAAAGACAGATAAAAATATTTATAATTAGAATTGTGTTTAAATTGTATTTTTTGCGTTGATAAAAAGTTGTAATGAGTACAGGGACTAGGTCCAAAGTAAAAGCTAAAAAGAGAGATAGACCACTGTTATTTGATTTAAATAGAACTATAGATAATTCAGAAGGAAAGAAAACAAAGGTAGCCAGTGACTTAACAGAAATGTCTGAAGAAACACCTACAGGTGGCAGTAACGTCCATGATTTTTCAGAGACGATAAATAGCCGAACCCCCATCATGAATTCCCTAGGACCTGTGTTCTTGCAAAGTGCCTTAGAGCAAAATAGAAATGTGCAGAATGCAGACCAAATAAAGGCTTTAGAGAATTCAGTTCAGTCTGTCCAATCTGAAATGAACGAAATTAAAAAGGCATTAAGCGAATTATCGATTAATATGCAGAAGATCGTTCAAAATACGGTCCAGCCTACACAACCTCTTGCGAATGTGCCAATAGCTCTAAATTCAAACACCAATATAGCTCAAAATGTTTCAGCCCGAAACAACGATATTCCTAATCGTTCTCATAGCAATACCGTTCCAAACAGCGACGCCCCAACAACTTCCAATAATAGTTTACCCCCAATAAGTACTTATCCGGGTAGACCACTGCCCATTGAACCAACCAAGGGAATGAATATCGTTCGTATAAATAAACTGGGACTAAATTTTGATGGTAGCTCAAATGGTCTGGGTGTAGAAGATTTTGTTTACAGACTTGAGTATTACCAAAAGCAGTATAAAATACCCTGGACTGAGATAATTAGGGATTTCCCACTATTGGTTTCCGGTAGAGCAGAGTCGTGGTATTGGCTCTTTCAAAAGACCCATCAATTTCATGACTGGGAGGAACTAAAGTACAGTCTATTGAGTCAGTATCAATCGTCTCGCTCTAATTTTGAGATTCTCACTGACCTAGCCCAAAGAAAGCAACACGCTAATGAGTCGGTAGATAGCTTCTTCCACACAATGGGTCAAATCAGAACAAAATTGGTTCAACCAATTTCAGAATTTGATATGATCAAGATAATGAAAAAGAATATAAAAGAAAATATCGGGAGAATTGTCTATCCAATACAGGTCACCTCTGTTGAGCAACTCCGAATCGAGTGCAACGAGGCTGAAAAAAACTTCTTGAGGCGAGAAAATAAACCAGCCTTTACAACATCTCGTCCAATTAGGCAAGTTAGTGAACTTCACGAGGAAATGGACTTAGTGACAGAACAATCATACGCAGATGAAGAAATTGAAGTGTCCGCTGTCCAAAATGATAGGCGATTAAAACCGCAGCTGACTTGCTGGAATTGTAGAAAAACTGGACATGGTTTTCGTGAATGTGAAGAGACCACGAGAACCCTTTTTTGCTACAAATGTGGCAATCCTGGAACTACAACACCAAAGTGTGGTATTTGTCAGCAGGGAAACTACAAGAAGGGCGTAGAGATGGAAGGGGGCTCGCGTCCGAATTACAACCCCGGAAAGTAATCTCTCCAAACATTAAACTCCAGCACAATAATGAATGTCATAACGCAAAATCCTACGCCCAAAGAAGACATCAAATTCCGCTTGATGAGCGTCGGAAAAATTATGATGAAGTTAGGGATAGAATCTTCGGAGAATTTGATTATCCAAAATACTGTAAAAAAATTCCTAAAGTTCGTCAAAAATTTAGAGATAAAAGAAGAAATTTTAAAATAATTGTCGAAGTCATAAACCGAAGCAGTAATAGAAATGATCCGAGACCTTTTGCAGATGTTGAAATCGAAGGAATCCGATTAAAAGGGTTGCTAGACTCAGGGGCCTCAGTAAGTTTAATGGGAAAAGGCTGTAGGGAAATTATACAAGAATTAGGCAAAGAAGTAGCACCCATATTTTCAAATGTAAAGACTGCGGCTGGAAATCGGCACCGAATAATCGGTAAAGTAAAACTAAAAATCAAATATAACGAGCTTGAAAAGGATATTGAATTATATCTATGCCCTGACTTGGAACAAGAGATATATTTAGGGGTTGATTTTTGGAAATTATTCCACGTTGCCCCTGAGGTAATTAGAGTGGATGAACTGAAGGTAGAACAAATTCAAAATGACATGGTTAACGGGGAGAATTATAAATTAAACCCCCATGAGTTAACACCACAGCAACAGGAAAGACTAGATAAAGTCCTGAAGAATTTTGATACATTCGAGGAAAAAGGATTGGGCAAAACTTCCTTGGACAAACATTCCATTAAGTTGATAGACGGCGCCGAACCTGTAAAGGATCGCCATTACCCAATATCTCCTGCAGTTCAATCCATCGTATATGAGGAGATAGACAAAATGCTTACTTTAAAGGTTATAGAAGAAAGTGAGAGTCCTTGGTCCAATCGGACAACTATAGTACGGAAACCAGGAAAGAATCGCTTCTGCTTAGATGCGAGAAAACTTAATAAACTCACCGTGAAGGATGCGTATCCGCTCCAAAATATTGAGGGCATCTTAAGCAGAATCGACGAGACATACTACATCAGCAGTGTTGATTTAAAGTTTGCATTTTGGCAGATAGAATTAGATGATGAAAGCAAAGCATACACAGCGTTTACAGTCCCTGGTCGCCCGTTATATCAATTTAGGGTGATGCCGTTCGGTCTTTGTAACGCGGCCCAACGCTTATGTAGGTTGATGGACAAAGTTATACCGTCACACCTGAAAGAAAACGTTTTCATTTATTTAGACGACTTGCTGGTCATCTCTAGTGATTTTGACGAACATTTGCGTCTATTATGGGAAGTAGCAGAGTGCTTAAAGAAAGCAAATCTAACGATAGGGCTTAAGAAATCCCAGTTCTGTTTCCGCGAACTGAGGTATTTGGGATTTATCATTGGCGATGGAAAACTAAAGACGGACCCAGACAAGGTAAAAGCCATTAAAAAGATCGCAGAACCACGTAGCGCAAGAGAAGTTAGAAGCTTCTTAGGGACAGCGGGGTGGTATAGGCGTTTCATTAAAGATTTTGCCACCATCTCCGCTCCACTTACCGATACCCTAAAAAAGAGTAAGAACTTTAAAATCACGGAGGAAGCTAGAAAAGCTTTTGAAGCATTAAAAAAGGCTTTAACATCTGCCCCAGTCCTTCGCCATGCGGATTTTTCAAAACATTTCTACATTCAATGCGATGCTTCGGAATGTGGAATTGGGGCTGTGCTATATCAACTAAATAATAAGGGGGAAGAACACCCCATAGCGTTTTATTCGCAAAAATTAAATTCCTGTCAACGCAATTATAGCGTGACAGAAAAAGAATGTCTAGCGGCAGTGATGGCTATCAAAAAGTTTCGACCATATGTGGAATTGATGCCATTCACTGTAATAACGGACCACGCTTCTTTAAAATGGCTTATGTCCTTAAAGGATTTAACGGGAAGACTAGCTAGGTGGTCATTACAATTGCAGGCATTTAATTTTAATATAGAACACCGGAAAGGAAGCGAGAATGTTGTAGCGGACATGTTGTCGAGGGCTCCAGTTGCCAATGTTAGCGAAATCACGAAAAATGACTACTTAGATTTTGAAACCCTAGAATTCGAGAGTCAAGAATATCTTGATCTCATTAAAACTGTTACCGACAACCAAGAAAAGTTACCAGATTTAAAAGTAGAAGATGGGTATGTTTTTAAAAAGGTACTACCTAGCTTGGAAGAAAATGAGGAACTCACATGGAGGTTATGGATTCCCTCAAGTATAACCTCAGAAATAATAAAAAAAGCCCATAATTCTATGACGTCTGCACATGGCGGGATAATAAAGACCCTTGAACGTATAAGACGATTCTTCTATTGGCCTCGAATGACCGTTCAAGTGCGTGAATACGTAAGGAACTGTCAGGTTTGTAAGGAAACCAAAGCTAGCAATCAGCATATGATGCCCAGTATAGGAAAGGAGGTAGTAACTGATAGGCCGTTCCAAAAGCTGTATATAGATTTTTTAGGAAAATACCCAAGATCGAAAAAAGGTAATGCATACATTTTCATCGTTGTGGATCACTTCACTAAATTCACCTTTCTCAAAGCAATGAGGGAGGCAACCGTCGGCAACGTGATAAAATTCCTTGTCGATGAAATTTTTTATAAATTTGGTGTCCCCGAAGTGATCCACAGCGATAATGGGGCGCAGTTTACCTCCAAAATGTTCAAAGAGCTGATGGAAACTTATCAAATAAATCATATGAAAACAGCCATATATTCGCCACAGTCCAACGCATCGGAACGTGTGAACCAGTCGGTAATTTGTGCCATTCGGGCATATCTCGATAAAGATCATAGAGACTGGGATATGTATTTATCCGAAATAGAATGTGCATTGAGAAATTCTATACACACTTCGACTGGGGTTACGCCGTTCTTTGCGTTGTTTGGCTTTCATATGTACTCAAATGGACAGGATTATAGCTTGGCAAGGAAATTGAAATCCTTAACCGACCATGAGCTCAGTAATATGGATAGACCAAGTAAGCTAGAACTCATAAGAGCCAATATAAAAGAAAATTTACATCGAGTTTACATAAAAAGTTCTGAAATATATAATAAACGTGCAAGGGTGTGTAAATTTCGACCTGGACAAGAAGTCTACCGGCGAAATACCGTCTTATCCGACTTTTCGAAAAATATTAATTCAAAATTCTGCAAAAAATTTGTTAAAGCCCGAATTGTCAAGCCCGTTGGACAAAACATGTATGAACTCGAGGATATGCAAGGAAAATCCATTGGTATTTACCATGTCAAAGACATAAAGTATTAGTGCAATATAGATTTAAATTCCGTGATAGACAAGTGCATTATTAGAATTAGGTTGACTTAATTACATGTTGTACTTGTCCCATTCATATATTTACCTCTATAGTGCAATATACATTACGTCTGTGATATACCCAAATGTACCTGATTTTCATATAGAAGTGATTATTTAATGATTTATACCCTACCTCGTAATTATGCATCTACGCCCGAACTATACCTCCAATAAGATTTTACAACCTATAATCATAGCACCTCACTATTAATACCCTATTTGGTAATTAGATATCAATATTTTGACTTACGTAATCTTCCGACTTATTCGCGCATGAGTGACCAGATTTCTGTTCCAATTTTTTTTTACCCAGTCGACTGACCTGTAAATACACACCAAGTAAGGACTTATGTGATAGAAAAAAAAAAATACTTCCCTAAATTAAAAGTAAACTCAGAGCCCGGCTTAATCTCAGGGTGTGAGAGTTCCCCACGTTGGGCTTGATCCCGGACGTCACATAGTTCGATACAGCCCGCACACCAGTCCTGCCTTCGGGCCTTGTCAGCCCTGGAGTTTTGTTGCGGGCCTTGTAAACGAAAAATCCCAAGTCGACAGCAAAAAAAAAATTTACGTGGAAGGGCCTTAGAAAGTGGCCTTTTCGCCTACATGGTGGCCACCAACCATGAAAAACCACTAGCTTCCAGTATGCGCTAGAGTTGGGGAAGCCAGCGGTAGCTATAATGAACACTCCCGGATGGGCAGGCCACTGTAATGCCTCTCGTGACCGCCGTGTTCACTAAGTTTTTTTTTGTTTTCTTTTATGGGGGAGTTAATAATGGAGACACCTGGGCACTGAAAAGGGGGTAAACATAGTGCCAAGTATGTTTAGCCATGCCCAGGTGCCGTTTTGCTTGTTTTTTTTTTGATTCGTTGGGGTGTAATGGTTTGTCGTTGCACCCTTTATAAAATATGGGTGGACAACTGGATTGTCATGCCATCAATCCATTGCCCACACCGATCGAAAGCCCAACATGTGAAATACAGGAAACAATATTCTCCATCATAGGAAAACCAAATAAACGCTGGGGAATACTTGCTTCTATTGAAAGAATTTAATGTTTCCTGCATCTCATCATGGGGGCCATACCTGCAAGAAAAAAGCTGAAAAGAAAGAAAAAAATATTAATAAAAATTTTAATAATTAAAACTGGAACGATACCGCTTGGTGTTGGCTGTTGGTGTTTTGCGTGATTTTGACTTCTTAGTAATTTTGACATTTGGGTCATATGGTGAATCTAAGTCTCCAAATTTTAGGAAGTGTTCGGACAAACGAAAGATCCGTGTCGGCAAAACAGAGCGTAGAAAAATTGAATGATACTGTATTATCGGCAAAAGGGGATGTTTTTAAGAGTGAAAGTTACTCTTAAAAGGTTCGGAGAAAATGGGATTTCAGAATGTTGCAAAGGGTTTGTTGCAGATAAACCTAGAGGGGGACGACTGGTTTTAGGAAAAAAGGGACAAATCTTGAGGGCTAGGAAAATGGCTAGTAATGGAAAGGAACCATTTTTGTTCCCGAACCTATAAAAGGTAGTACTGATGGGAAAAACAGATTAGTTATTTAGTGGTGTTGAGCTAAAAAGCCTTTTTTTTTAACATATAATCGAAATATATTGACATTTTTATTTGTGAAAAAAATCTTTTGTTTTGTGAAAAGAAAAAAAAATAAACGTGTAATTGGTAATTAGGTAAAAATATTTAAATTAAAAGAAAGGAAATGTGCAAACACATTAATAATTATGATATATTAGGTGACTGGAGGGAGGAGAGAATAAGCCTTAAGTGTCAAAGGTTAATTAAACCGTTTCTTAAATATACTCCGACAAACAAATAAGGTAAGAAAATGAAGTGCTAGGAATGGACAGAAAAATATCCAACGTAACCATTCTTGTTTTATTCGGCAGGTCGGAGTCGGGTACAGACAGCGATATCTTGTGGGCAATATTCACATTAACACCACTGACCGACATTTGTACTTAAAGTGGTAAGTCAACTGTACCCAACGATATAGTGTCACCCGAGTACCATCTATGGGTGGACTGACACATTGAATTAACTCTCCACTCGTCAGTTAAAGCTCAGCACCCAGAAAATACCCAATATATTTCCAACTTTGATTCTATGCTGTGAAGTCTCCAACCTGTTTTTTTTTAACGTCACAGTGTTCCGGGATTACATATAAACCTCTAACTATTTAAGTAATTCCAACGCAACGAATTCTTATTCTGACTAATGTTAAAAGGTTGCGGATGTGACGAAGTATTATTAGACTTCATCAGGATTTGAATGGTCGTAGAGGTGACCCTGGAGTATAAGACATATTGACAATTACAAACACATACAACACATTAACACATCACGAATTTTATTAATTTTTTTTTCGACAACCAATTTTCATATTTTTAAGTTTTTTTTTATTTATTCCTCTATGTGTATTTATTGTTTATTTGAAATTTATTTATGTGATCTACTGTTAGAGTTAGGTATATCAACTTAAATGTTTTATTGAGTTTTTATTTGGACATTATTAGTTTATGTTCCTAGTAGGCAAGTTTTGAAACTATTCGTCGGATCCCCTTTGAGTCCAGGTAGAAAAGAGCTCTTTTTTTTGGTGACGTTAGGGTGGGTCGTATATTCGATAGTATAAAGCTTGTTTATTAGAGTAATTCTGTGTTTTGATCCTTATTGGATATTGTTTAGAGTTCGTCCAAAGGACTAAAGAAAACATTATAGTTATTTTCTAATCTGGTCAAAAGACCGTTCGTATAAAAAAGGTTAAAAAAAGAGAAATAATTATTACTTTGCTCTATACTCTTTTAACGAGTTATTTTTATTATTAAAGTTTAATTTATATTTTTTTTATAATTTTATCAATACAATTTTTTTGTTAGTTTTTTTTATATATTAGTTTTAATGTTAATTATAATAAAATGACTTAATGTATGTTTAAAGAAAGAAAAAGAATGAGGATGTGTTAAAGAGTTATTAAGGAGGGAATAAAAGGGAGGTAAGTGGTGTGGGATTGTGCGGAAAAAGGGGTCATCAGGACAATAAAAGGAAGAGATGATCAAAGGTAGGGAGGGCGGCTAAATGGCTCGTGTGTCAACAGACGTTATGGATTTGGATGGTATCATGTTCATCATTATAGTGTTGTTCTTTTGTTGGTGAATTCCCATAGTTTATTGTTGTTGTTCCTGAGCCGGATGTTGGGATGGGACTCACCCCAATGGGAGTCGGCAGAGCTGGTCGGCGATATCAAGACATCTCAGGCTGCCTAAGAGGGACACATAACAGATATAGCTCCCATATAAAACTTCGAGCGATTTACATTTTATTGTGCACAAAACGTCTGATATTTGTCCAAATGGGATGGAATTTGGCACATACGACCGAATTGAGTCTAGAAGCTAGTATGTCAAATTTGGTGAAGATCGGTTCAGATATAGCTATAGGTCCCATATATAATGTTCATCCGATTTGTTATATTTGTTACCCACAGCCGTTATATGCACTCCGTAACAACGATTTTCAGGGAAATATATCAAATGCAGCTCAGAAATATCTTTGCCAAGTTTTATTGAAATCGGTTCCGATTTGGATATAGCTCCCATATATATCTTTATCCGATTTCAAATTAATTGTGCACCAAATGGGCAATACAAGTCCGGATTTAAAAGATACAAATGCATCGGCATATTTAGTCCTTCGCACTTTAATATAATTATAATTATTTTCATAATTAAATTATTATAATTATAATAATATATAATTATAATAATGAATAATATAATAATATATAATTATTATTATGATTATAATTATAGCGTATATGTTGAATTCTCCCATTAAAACATTTAATTGTTATGCGGAGCTCTAACTTAGCAGAAAGTGGTGTATGGTATCATAAAGTCGACCCCGCCCGACTTTAAGACTTTCTTTACTGGTTATATTATATGTCTTTGAAATGGGCAAAGACATATAATATAATAAGATGGGACATTACATTGTTACTTTTCTTCAATAGATGGCGTTGGTAGTGGAAAAGTATGTTATGTCACGATATCGTGACATAGCATTATGTTATAGTTTAACAGAGCTGACGCTTTTTAAGGGTTGTTGTTGATTTTATCGATTCAATGTACAAGGAAATGCTCTGGAATAGATTTTTCAGAGCATGTCTATCATACCTGATATTTTTTTTCCGCGTATTTCCGCCATTTTTCGGCGATATCGGAATAACATATTTTTCTAAAATTTCCAATGCATTTCTGTTATGTCGCCTGCCATCTGTTAGCTGATTGAAGAATTAAAGCCCATATGCATTTTGTCCAATCTTTATAGTTTTATGTCTTTGAAATGGGACATTTAACTCTAGTTATATTGTATAGATGGCGCTGGTAGTTTGAAAAAACATTATGTCACCTTATCATGACATAGCATTTTGTATGACAGTATGACTGTCAATTTTATATGATTTTCATTATTTTATTCATTTATTTACAATTATATTTATAAATAAGCGCTTCAAAAATAATATAATTAGCTATAGCTAATAAGTCCTTAGGCTATTGATTTAGTGTACATGGAAATGATCTATTTCTGTTTGTGGTATAACATTCCTGACCCATCCGACTATAATCTTTTATAAATTGTTTTTTTTTATTGCTGATTCTCGGAACTCATTTTTTCATTTCATATAATATATATGAATGAGTCACATGAACAAAACATTAAACAAATCAATACTGATTAGATAAGAGGTTGTTATTTATACACTGTTCTAGAACTCGGGGAATCACATAGTATTTGAAACAAATTCCCCCAATTGAATGCGGAAAGGGTTGCCAACTTCATTCAGAAATAAAAAAATACATACATCAAATACCAACGTCAATACATATGTTCTTGCTAACAATTATTAAAAAAATTGCACACCAATTCTCCGTTGGAACAATTACAAAAAAACGTAAGAAGGTAAAGTCATATAATTATATGTTTACAATTTTTTCAAATTTATACATTTGACAACATCTCATTGTCAAAATCCATATTCATAAATCCATTGTATCCACACAAACTCAGAGATGGGAATTGTTTTTTATGCATTGAAATTTGACAAGGTGAATTATAGAAAATGCAGAGCTGGGAATGCTGAAATGAGGCTACCTTTATTTCATAGTAACAGGGATATACAGACAAAATCAGAGAAGGGAAATGTTTTTTATTCATTGAAATTCGACGAGGTAAATTACAGAAAAGGTAGAGCTGGGAATGCTAATTTGAAATGAGGTAACTTTTATTTCATTGTACCATGAATAATAAATTGGAAAATACATTATTTTCCTTGCAGATGGTCAGCAACATGGCAGAATTAAGAAGGTAAAGTCATACAATTATATGTTCTTTCAAAATTATTATAAAATTATGTCAATATGTTTATTTATAAATCCATTTGTTAATTTAAACAAATCAGAGATGGGAACCTGCTTTCTGTGCAGTGACATTTGACAAGGTAAATTACTTCGGCTGCCTTCTTCGGAAAAGAGCAAGAAGAAGTCATGGTAGAAGAATACAGATAGTCGCATCGACACAGCTGCTGGGACAACAAACTGTCAACCCGATTTTGGAATTGAAAATTTTGAACAGAAAAATATTGAAATAAGTAAAAACTGTTGAAAAATACATAGCATATCATCCTCCGATTTGCGTTGTATAAGTAAACATATAAAAATCTACATATTTTAGGCAAAACATATTAAAAAAATGTATTCTTCTACCATGGAAAAAACCACCGATGACTTAAGTCATTCAAAAAAGCTTTTATTATATTCTCACCTTAAGGCAAAAAAAGATCAAAGCTTTAAATGTGACATCGGCGAGAAAATACAACGCTGTTTGCATTTTTGGCTGCGTGACACGTAAAAAACAACACTGTTGTAGCGCTAACCCTTAAACTATTATTAATTTGGATTGACCCACATTATCAAGATTTATTCAACCAGATTTATAGCCAGTCAGTGGGTTAATCTTAGAAGAATATAAAGGCCGTTCAGCTGGTAAGAGAATGCTAAAAGTAGCCTTAAATGTTGTATCAAAAAAGCCTTAAGGTGTAAGTACACTTTGAACCATTTCTGCTGATGTTGCTGTTTTCTTCCGTTCATTTCCTTGACGTCGGGCATCGCTACCAGTATCACGATAACGAGCGATGATACGAGACACAAAAAGATTTATTCACATTTAAATACTGGAGTGCTCTAACGATAACCACATTTGGTTTATATAGAGAAATATAAAGAAATCACACTATCACGCTTGAATTCCATCACAAAAAAAATTTTTTTCTGGAAAATGCTTTCGTACGCTTATAAACAAAATAATAAGCTGTCACTGGAATAATTTTAACAGCTGTCGGACGAGTGGCTTGGAAATGACAGCAGCCTGAAGTTGGTTGCAGTTTTTTCTTCTCAGCCGTATGCATGTTTGACATTTGACAGAACAAAGGTACACGTATATAAGAAGCTTGAAGTCATGGCTAGGCATATTTTGTGACATTTCATAAAGGGATAAAGGGATTATAATTAGATATTAATATGCCTAGTCATGACTTCAAGCTTTTTATGTACTTGCACCCTAAGGACACCAAATAAAAAAAAAAACATTTTTGGGGGGTAGCTAGCTGTGCTACTATTTTGATTTCAATTTTGTCGCAGCTGCTCACTGCTATTTTGTGTTGGTTGGCGATTTCAAATAGCAATATCTGTCTTTGTTATTTATTTATTTTTTTTTTTTTTGTAATCCGTTTCTATTTGTTGACGCAACTCATAGATAGACAACATATTTTGAGAAATTTTTAGCCCGCAAGAATGAAAATTCTCCGTGCAATAGCTAAATTGGCATTAGCATTTTAAACCCTGGTATTCTCAACTACATTTGTCTCAATAATGTCCCTAATTTACGGACAAATAAAACGAAGGCATGGCAACCCTGAACAACAGAATATAAATACACGAACTTAACGCACCAACAAACACACAACAAATCATATTATTTGGTTAACGTTCTAATTTGAAAACAAAAAAAAAATTTCAAAACAATTTTTGTTTTTGCAAAAAATATAAAGATTTTTAGGAATAAAAAGTCGATCAGCAGCCATGGGAAAAAAGAATAGTGAGTATTTGCAAGGGGGAGTTGAGAAACAGTCTTGTTGGTATTTAGTTTGTCTGTTGGTAATTAAATTAAATGGTGAAATTCTTTATTTGTCTTTCTCTTGTAGAGTACAAGCCAGAAGGAAAAAAGCCGGAACAAAATCAACCTACACCAGCTACAGTCTGCGAGGATTCCAAAACAGGTAAGTGTTTTGTAACTTTATTTTTTGAGTGCGCTGGAAACTTCAGTACTATTGGTGTTGAAATAAAGGTCGAGATGGTCAACGGGAAAGTGGATCGGATCTATGTCAACGTGCACCTTTCCAAGAACAAAGTAGAAAAGACAACCAGAAGAGTACAGAAAATAAACAACAAGGAGGGCAGCTAATGCAACAACGAAATTCAGCACAACTACAAAGGGGACAGGCACAACAACAACGAGAAAAAGGTAGGTCAACAAAATGGTAGAATTCTAGATTACAGAATGCTGTAGTTTTTATCAATTTAGCAGATCAAAATGTCCAAAATATCAGTGTGCAGCGCTCACAGCAAGGAAGGCAGATGAAGCAGCAAAAAAGACAAGTGGGGGTTTCAGCAGTCATGGGAAAAAAGAACAGTGAGTATTCGTAAGGAATTGTTATCGTTTTTTTTACCCTCAGCCATATGCATACACATGGATACGTTTTGATACGGCCAAAACGTGCCTCATCTTTAGACCATATCCGTTTCAGGACATGTAGAGCCGATTTATTGTTGTCCGTCCGTCTGACTGGTGCGCACCATAACTTTTGAAGGGGGTATCTGTTTGATACATCTTAATACTATAATCAAACTTAGGTCGAGTTTGAAGATGAGAGCTATATCGGTCCATTCCATCTAGTATAAAAATTTACTTTATGAAAAAAAAGAAAGGATGATCTGATTTTGTTCAAACTTTGCAAATTTTAATAGGTGAGGTGCGGGCAATATCAAAAACGGTCAAAATTTTGAATATAAATCTAAAAAATGCACAATCACAATATTTTTACCAAAATAAGATCTGGTGTGAAGTAAGTTAATATCATCTCACTCCTTCTGGTACCCATCCCACAAAGTGGATAAATTCAGAATTACAATGAAGCTCATATAACGGGAAATGAGCATTATATCACTTTCAAACTCAACAATTTCCAATGTTGCTACTAACACACGATTAGCTGCGAAAATAGACAACAATTTTAACAGCTGTCGGACGAGTGGCTTACAGATGACAGCAGTCTTAAGTTGGTAGGAGTATTTTCATCTCACCCTGTATTTTGACTTCTGTTATGATTCATACTGTTGACCCTAGGTTCCGAAGGAATGGTCCAATATTATCCATTTCGTATCGAACCTAAATAAATATGATGATATAAATATTGAGACATGTCAGGTTTGGACTATATCGACTACTTCCTACACTATATCAGATATGTGATAATTTTTAGAAAATGTTAAAATGCGGGTATATTCGACAAATGTGTTCCATTTTCAAGCCTCATCTAACACTGATACAAATATTGGCTTGGGCAAAATTACAAGGAAATCGAACATTTTTATCCAATTTTATACGAAATCATAAATTTCATATTCATCTCAGGTTTTGGCTAGAGAGAAATATTTATATATAGCAAGTTGTGAAGAATCGCCGATTTTTTTTGGGCGATTTTTGGCAGATGAAAGTATTGAAAACTGGTGAGGTACCAGAAGGAGTGGACCGATATATTCCATCTTCGCACCAGACCTAGGGTTAATAAAAAAAAATTGTGATATCTGTAATTTGAAGACAATCAGACTCTTACATCACATTTTATAAAAGTTATAATTATTCAAAATTTTGACCTTTTGTGGGGGAGGTACCAGAAGGAATAGGTCCGATCCCAACAATCATCATAAAAGATCTTGTGTTGATAGAAGTATTGAGATGTGCCAAGTCTGAATGGAATCGGATGTTAATTTCGCTTTTTAGAAGCTCCATAGATATTCCAAATTTTTACCTTTTGTGGGGGAGGTACTAGAAGGAGTGGACCACTTTATCCCATCTTCACAGCAAATCTTGTGTTAGTAGAAATAATGGGATGTGTGAAATATGAAGAGAGTCGGATAATTATTTCGTATTTAATAATCGTTATTCGAAACGTTGTCCCTTTGTGGGGGAGGCACCAGAAGGAGTGGACAGATATATTCCATCTTCACACCAGACTTTGGGTTAATAAAAATATTGTGATGTGTTGATGATGTGACAATCGGGCTCTTGCATCGCATTTTATAAGAGTTATCATTATTCAAAATTTTGACCCTTTGTGGGTACTTATAGCAATACGAAGATTTTTTTTTTTCGAAAAATTTAAACCTCTATCGAGGATCCCAAAGAGATCCTATTGGTTATGTTTTCAAAATATGACAAAAAATCTCTTTAAGCGAGAATTTACTATTTGTCATGAAATTCAACTATGGATCTCTGAGACATCAAAATTCTAAATAACCCAAACTCCAGTAATTCATAAACACTTCGAAATTGTTATAGGATTAAAGCCGCATTTAATATAAGATCTAATTTTTCTGAATTATTCGTTGCAGGTGGACAGACATCCTGTACTGGCATTGTTCGTGGCACACGTGGTACACCAGGTACTGTAGAAGTTAACTATTTGAAATTGTTACTTGATAGTATGCCCAACAAGGTCTATCACTACGACATTACAATAACGCCTGTTCGTTCAAAACAATTTGTAAGACTTGCTTTTCAAGAGTGTAAACAAAAATATTTCCATGGTATTGAGGCTGCTTTTGACGGAAAAAAGAGTTGCTATACACCAAAACGACTTTCTAGTCCAATCAACTGCACAGTTAAGGTATGCAATTTCATGGTTTTCATAATGAGGTTACAAAAAATACCAATTTCTTTTTAAAGGTTTCAGACTCAAACAGCCGCACCATAGAATTCCAAGTGGAGATAAAGGAAACCCTGGATTGCGAGGTGGATCTAAATTCACTTCGGACGTAAGTTGACAGAAACTCTTCTTAGATTTCGCTCAACTGGTTACACAAAAGTATTTATAATATTTTAAAAATATGTTTCTCTCTATTTGACTTAATAACCCATTGAAAGCAAGATCGATATGAGATGCAGGGTGAGATAAAAAAAACTGCAACAGAGTCAAACGCCATAATTTTTACTTTTTTTTTTAAATTTTATTGAATGAAAGCATGTTGGAAATAGCATCAAAGTTTAGATTTGTTCGAATTGAACACCTTTGGCACGAATTATGACCTTCAAACGGCCAATGAAACCGTCACACACTGCCCGAATGTTGCTGTGCGGTATTTTGCCCCATTCCCGGCGAAGCGCATGTTTGAGGTGATCGACACTTTCCAAAATAGTCCAGACACAATAGTCCAACGAATTGGTATCCGGAGATTTTGGTGTCCAAAGTGCACATTTCCAGCTGACCTCTTTGGCAAGTAAACTATTTTTTTCTAATCGGAGAAAACCAAATTCGGCAGTTCACCACTTTCGACCAAGCGAATCAACTCCTTAGCTCTTTTGAGTCTATTTTCTTTCTGTTGCGGTGTAATTTCTTGAACTTTTTGGAATTTCAATGCCTTTACCCCGAGCTCATTTTTCAATATTTGCCGAATGGAATATTACGATATGTTCAGCTCACAAGCAATTCTTCGGCCACTGAGATCAAGTCGCTACCAGTATCACGGTAACGACCGATGGTACGAGACACAAAATATTTATTCATATTTCAATGCTGGAATGCTCTAACCATAGCCAATTGTGGTTTTCCTGCCAAATGTAAATCCACTACCACGCAAAAAATAAAACCACACTGCCACGCTTGAATTCCATTACGAATAACATGCTCACAAGCTACGAACGAGTGGCTTAGAAATGATAACAGTCTCAAGTTGGTTGCAGTTTTTTCATCTGACCCTCTATGTATGCTATGTGAAGTTTAATATACTTCGTCTAAATTTCATGTTGATATCCTTATAACCCTTTTTATTCGCTACACCACAAGGTGGTCAGGGTATTATGTCTTTGTGCATTTGCTTGTTACAGGTAAAAGGAAACGATAGAAACATATCCGTCCATCTGTCTGTCCATGTATTTTTGTAAAGAAAGTACAGGTCGCATTTATTGTCCGATCCAGATAATATTTTGCGCAAGTCTATTATTATTATTATTATTATTATTATTATTATTATTATTATTATTATTGTTATTATTGTTATTATTGTTATTATTGTTATTATTATTATTATTATTATTATTATTATTATTATTATTATTTTTATTATAATTATTATTATTATTATTATTATTATTATTGTTGTTATTATTGTTATTATTATTATTATTATTATTATTATTATTATTATTATTATTACTATTATTAAAGTCAATACAATATTGCATTACACAGAAAAATGTCTTCTCTGCAAACTATTCAGGTAAATACGCGATACAATCATGTTTCCTTCTCTTCTTGTTTTGCAGATACCACAATGATTCAGTGTCCGACAAACCAATGAGGGCCTTGCAGGCATTGTATGTTATTTTGTCTGAAAGTAATCACGAAAAGGGCCTACGCGTCGGTCGAGCATTTTTTTGCAGACCCATAAAACCACACGATTTGGGGGATGGTTACGAAGCTTGGACTGGTTTGTTTGAGGCTGTAATTTTAGGCGATCAGCCCTTTCTTAATGTCGACATCACCCACAAATCATTTCCTTGTGAGTCTAGCCTGATCGATTACTTGAAAAATCAGAAAATCGGATTAGGCCAAGATTTAAGGAAGAACAAACAAGTACAGAGTTATCTTAGAGGCATTAATATTGTGTATCAACCACCAGAATCATTTAAAATTTTTGCCAGGAAATACAAAGTATTGAACATAGGGAATTCTGCTTCCCAGCTACATTTCATAAATGGTGATGGTCTACAAATGACTGTTGCTGAATACTTTAAATCTCGGGGATACTCACTTAAGTATCCGAATTTAAGTTGTGTTGAAGTCGGTTCGACGGCTCATTCGATATATTTGCCAATGGAACTATGTAAGATTGCAGGGGGCCAGGTCTTGAACGTAAGTATACCAAAGTTAATTGAGAGTAGCGCCTGGTGGTTCTGAAACGTAATGTTGTTTAGCGTAAAGACGAATCAACACAAGTACGGAACATGATACGTTCTGCTGCAACTTCTACTAATGTTCGCAAGAGAAAAATCATGGATATGCTGCAGTGTTTCAATCTTAATGCCAGCAAAATAGTCCAATCATTTGGTATTAAAATTGATTTGAATTTTATTAAAGTGCCAATTCGAGTTTTACCAAGCCCGATTATCGAATATTTGAACGGTCAAACTGTTAATGTAAATCGCGGTGCTTGGATGATGGACAAGCAACAATTCTTGATTTGTACTAAACCGCAAGCAGGCAAGCAGGTTGGCCACAAATGGGCAATAATATATCAATCAGGAATTGAATACATACATCTGGATAATTTCAAGAAATCTGTAAGTAATACAAGCACAGCAGGTAAAGTAAGCTACTATGAGAGGTGTTTTTCTTTTGTTTTTCTTTCAGGTTCTAAAAAAGGCAAAGGATTTAAACATGCATCTTGAAAATACAGCTGAAATTATGGAATATACGGATATTTATAACACTCTTCTGAATCTGGCTAAGAGTGACTATGCTTTAGTCTTTGTTGTCTTAGGCAGAACCGCTTATTACCATATTAAGCAGGTTGCTGATTTAAAAGTAGGAGTTTTAACGCAGTGCATACAAGACAAAACTGTTAAAAAAATTCCGCAATCTCCACCAATTATCTCAAACCTTCTTTTGGGGGTAAACGGAAAGCTTAACGGAACCAACCACAAGATATTACTGGACAATGATGATGACATGAAAGATTTAATGGCTCCCATTAAAAATGTGATGTTCATGGGTGCTGATGTGACGCATCCCTCTCCCGATCAGCCCCACATTCCTAGCGTGGTGGGAGTTACGGCTTCACACGATCCAATTGGAGCATGCTATAACATGCAATACAGATTGCAACAGTCTACTAAGGAAGACATTGAAGACATGGAGTCGATCACGAATCGGCATTTGGAGTTCTATTTCCAGTTTATGAAAACGTATCCTACTCATATTATCTACTATAGAGATGGCGTCTCGGATGGTCAATTTCCCATTATACAGAGGGTTGAATTGAGTGCAATACAGAGGGCTTGTCGAAAAATGGTAATTAACTTTTGTCCAATCTTTAGAAGTGATTGATAAAAATATTTCCATTTATTCCTGCAGGGATGTGATGCAAAATTGACCTGCATCATCGCAGTTAAGCGGCATCACACTCGATTCTTCCCAATGAAGCAACAGCGCGGTGAACGCGACTTAAATAATGTTGAACCTGGTACTGTTGTCGACCAGATGATAACACACCCTAGAGAAGTTCAATTTTTTATGGTTAGTCACCAATCGATTCAAAGCACCGCCAAACCAACTCGCTATAATGTTATTTTAAATGAATCGAACTTCGATATTGATCTCTTGCAACAATTAACCTATAATTTGTGTCATTTATTCCCACGTTGCAACCGATCTGTTTCCTATCCGGCTCCAGTTTATCTGGCGCATGTGGCCGCATTTCGTGCTCGGGTTTATTTAGAAGGGTGAGTAATTAAGACATAGATGACAAAGGCAAAGATATATATAATTGTTAATGCTTTTAGCACTAAAACCTTTTCCGAAGTCTTGGGTGAAGAATATGAAAAGCGCCTAATTCAGCCACGATTAATGGAGAGAAATCCAATGTTTTTCATATAACATATTTTAAAATGGCCATAACTCCTTAAATATTGAACTCTAAAACTCCACCCATTTTGGATTGGTGCACAAATCGGATAAATATGTATATGAAATCTAAACCGATCTCGATGAAATTAGGCAGAATTATTCTGGAGTATTAATATGGTATCTGGTTGGAGGACTTTAACACCGAATCGGATGAAACATATATATGGAAGCTATAGCCATATCTGAACCGAATTTAACCAAATTTGAAGTACTACCTTTTTTGCTGAACTTGCTCGGACGTGCCCAAATTCATTCATGTTCATTTGGACGCCTATTAAACGTGTGGTGCACAAAAAAATTGAAATCAGAAGAAAATACATATGGGAGCTATATCTAAATCTGAACCGATATTCACCAATATTGCCAGGCATGCTTTTGGACTGAACCTGGCTGTGTGTGCTAAAATGGATTTGCTTCGAACTAATATTATGCATTTGGTGGACAATATTTAGAAATTCGGGCAACGCTATATCCAAAACTGATCCGATTGTCGCCAATTTCAATAAAGTTCATCCTTGGGCCAAACAAATGATTTGTGGAAAATTTCAGCTCAATCAGACAATGAATGCGACCCGTACTTTGTTTACAAAAATACCTGGACAGGCGGACGGACATGCTTTAACCGACTCAGAATGTGATACTATGACGATCGTCAAAAGGAATTATGGGTCTATTTCGTCTCCCTCTGCACGTTAGAAACGAATATAAAAAAGATACAATACCCTGCCCTGCCCCACTGTGTGGCGTAGGGTATAAAAAGTGTAGAGGACACAAGGAAAAAACTTAGAAATGCGGTTAAAAAAAATAAACTTCTGAAGATTTTAATTACCTTTTGGCAACTGTAAATGAAACATAGTGTTTATGTGTCGGTGTGTGTGAAATCTGTGTCTACGAATAGGGTATACATGAGACGAATAAGAAGTCACGACCTGCCTCAATATTTACTAAGAACGAAATAAACGTGTGACCAAACATCTGACAATAATACTCAATACTCATACCCACAGACATACACAGATGAAATCACATTCCCCAACCATATCCTCTTTGCTTCCACCCAACAGCAGGGATAAGGAAAATGACAATCAAAACAAAACAATACAAATATTTTCACTTCATTTCCATTTAAGTTGTTCGGAAAAGTTCGTGTGTTCTCTAAGGAGGGGAGGGTAAAGAGAATATGCGAAATAATATTTTGGGCGCAAAATTGAAATTCATTGATACATTTATGTTGCCGCCGCCCATTCTATTTTAATACTTACAACAAATAGCACGTGCTTGCAACATGTTGTGTTTTGTCGTATGCAGTATGAAGGATAGTAGGAATAAAAACAACAGCAAACGTTATGTATGAGTTCGATCAGAAAAATCATGTGTTTTACGTTTCGATGTCATCGTTGCCACTTTGAGATTTCTTTCGAAAAGTGGTCGGTAATTTTATTGTAGCCGGAAGTTGTAGTAGCATGGAAAGCAAACACAGTAATAGGTCTTCTGAAAACATAAGACTTTCAAGAGGTCTTCTGTAGACATAAGACTTTCAAGAGGTCTTCTGTAGACATAAGACTTTCAATAGGTCTTCTGTAGGCATAACACCTCCAAGAGGTCTTCTGTAGACATAAAACCTCCTAGAGGTCTTCTATAGGCAGAAGGTCTTCTGTATACATAAAAGCTCCTACAGGTCTTCTTTAGAAAAAGATCTCCTAGAAGTCTTCTATAGACAGGATATCTTCTAGAGGTCTTCCATAGACAATATACCTCCAAGTGGTCTTCTGTAGACATGGGACCTCCTAGAGATCTTCTATAAACAGAAGACCTTCAGGTCTTCTTTAGACATAAGACCTTCTAGAGGCCTTCTATAGACACGAGACCTCTTCGAGGTCTTCTATAGACACGAGACCTCTTCGAGGTCTTCTATAGACAAGATATCTTTTAGAGCTCCAAAAGGTATTCTGTAGACGGAAGGTCTCCAATAAGTCTTCTTATGACAGAAGACCTCTTGGAGGTCTTATATGGGCATAGGACCTACTAGAGGCCTTCTATAGACAGAACAGTTCCTATATGTCTTCTATAGACAGAATACCTCCTAGAGGTCTTCTTTAGACAGAGGACCTATGATATAGACGGAACATTCTGTAGACATAGGACCTCCTAGAGGTCTTCTATGGACGGAAGGCATCCTATAAGTCTTCTATGGACGGAAGGTCTTCTAGAGGTCTTCTGTAGACGGAAAACCTCCTAGAGGACTTCTCTTGACAGGAGACATTTATTAGGTCTAGAATAGAATACCTTCTAGAAAGTTTTCCACAGACTATATATACAATATATCTGCTCGAGAACTTCCATAGACAAAAGATCTCCTAAAGATCTCTTTAAACAGATCTTCTTTAAACAGAAGACCTCCTAGAGGTCTTTCATAGACAGAATACCTCTTAGTGGTCTTTCATAGGCAGAATACCTCTTAGAGGTCTTCCATAGACAGAATACTTTTAACTAGAGGCAGAATACCTGCTACAGGTCCTATATAGGCAAATAAAAACCTACTAAAGGTCTTCTATAGACAGAATACCTCCCGGGGTCTTTTGTAGACAGAATACTTTTTAAAGGTCTTCTATACACAGAAGACCTCCTAAAAGTCTTCTATAGACGGAAGACCTGCTTTAGGTCTTTTAAAGCCAGAATACCTCTTAGAGGTCTTCCATAGATAGAATCCCTTGTCATTAATAGTAATGCTGAAATTGACACTTACGACTACAAAATGTTTGCTGGGTAGCCACTTTTTCCGGGTGTAAAAGCTTTGTTGTCTTGGGGTCATTTTTAGCTTAAAAATTGGTAGAAAAAAACCCAACCCTACCGGCAACACTGCAGCACACAATGGTATGGAAACGCGCTCCCATTGTTGTTGTAGTTGCTGCTGCTGTCGCTTCTTTCACAGTTGGTGTTCACACAGCGAACGACAAGTCCTTATTTGACAAAGTGTGTGTAGTATAGAATCCTTTGCTGCTGAAGTATGTTAAGCAAGGTGGTGGTACTTCAATTCCAAATTATATTTTTAAAATCAGTTAAATGTAAACTTTCGAACGGAACGGTAACGCGAACGGATAAAACACCGAATAAATGGTCGATTTGAAGAAGCTATTCCATTGAAAGGATAAATAAAACCATCAGCAGCAAAGTTTGTTTGTTTGTGTGTTTTCTGTTTAGTTCAGAGTCAATGTTGTGCCAAAGAACAGGATATCATAAAAAAAGGATTATCAATAGTTGGTAAATAGAATTTAAACAACAAGAAAAATAAGAAGAAATAGCCAAATAAAAATAAAAGAAAACGAAACGGTATATTGAGGCAAGCGGCAAAAAAGGAAACCTTATTAAAAGTGCATTTGTTGTGAAAGTCGAAATAAATTGAGGTTGTGTAAAAACCAAAAAAAAAAAAAAAGGAAAAGAAACGGGGAAGCTGAGGTAGCAGCCGTTACGTTTGAAGTAGTCCTGATGATTGTCAGACAGACAGACAGACAGTCAGACGTAAATGGGATATTCGCTTGTTCTTTTTCTTGTTTGCAGCCGTATGTGTGATGCAAATAATTGGAGTGCCATTAAGGATAAAATGTTGAGCAATAATTGAATGCAAATACTTACAAATTTTCGTTGAAAACATCAGGTCGTGTGTGTGCTTGTGGAGAGCAGGCAAATGGAGTTAAACCACTTTATCTTGAAAACGTGTGCCAATTTAATATTCGCGCAAATCGTTTATGTTGTAAGTCATAATCGGGATGTGTGTGTTCGAGTCAAAGAGGTGTATACGTGTGTGCGTGGTGACGGCAATCAAGGTGAACACACATAAGTGACCCGGTACAAAGTACACGTTAATGATGCGAAATGTAACCACAAATAAACTTTTTTGTTTTTGTGTCTGTGTGTGTGTTTCGAAATAAATGGCAAATTTGAGCAATATTTGTCGGTTGCAATCAAAAGTGAAAAATGAATCTCAAAACGATAGATGGATATGTTAAACTTCGAATTAAGAACTTAGAAAGTTTTTCTAGTATTGTCATACCATAAACCTCCCTCCCTCTACTTTTAACTTCTGATTTTCTTTGTTCTGAAGGTTCCTGCATTAATATTGGCATCGGTGTTTTTAAAGGTCCTGGTCCCACTTGTACATATTTTTGGAAATCCTTATGAGTAGAAATCATCCGTACAAAAATGATTCAATGTTCCACTATTTTTTTTTTTTTTGGGTATGTAGAAGGTCCTAACGATAAAGTTCAACTGAATGGATTTCAAATCGCTATTTCTACAGTGTCGACATATTTGGAGGATTTTAAGCACCATAATTTAAGTTGCAACATTTGGGAATGTTCTTTTAAGAGTTTTAGTATAGCCTAAAAACAATGAAATACATAATAAGTAAAAAAACAGTTAAGTTCGGCTCGGCCGAACTTTTCATATCCTTCACCATTTGGAAGGAACGTGTAAAATGTAAAAAATTTTTAAAAACATGTTTCTAAAAAGTATTAAAATTCTGAATATCAGGCGGGGACTATATGGGACTATACAAAGGCGTGGGCCTGTATTCACAATTTTCTGCCAGAGAAGGCCTATTGTAAATTCTAAATACAAATTGGGAAATAATGGCGTTGAAATATGTATCTGAAATCGGCCGGTTCGAGCTAAAATAAATGAAATAATGATTTTAATTAAAATACTATCATCTAATTCTGTTAGAAGTTGCGGCACAAACCTTCAAAATAAGGAAAATCGGGAGCTACCGTTATATGGGGGCTATATCAATTAATGGGCTTGTAGCGAACCTTTTTTCGCAAGGAGAGAACAAACCTGCCGAGAACACCAAATGTAAAGTTTCAACTGATTTGTTTGGAAATTGCGGCAGAAACCTTCAAAATACCGAAAATGGGAAGGGTTATACCTATTAGTGGATCTGGATCGGATATTTTCTGCAAGAAGAGAACAGGCCTAGCAGGAACCCCAAATGTCAAATTTCAGCTAACGTGGTTGAAAATTGTGGTAGAACCCTCAAAAATAATGAAAATTGGGAAGTACCGTTCTATGGGGGCAATATCAATTAGAGGATATGTATCGAACTAATTTCGCAAGGAGAGAACAGACCTACCGAGAACCCCACTGGCCATGTTTCAGGTGATTTGGTTAGAAGTTGTGGCAGAATACCTAGAATCGGGAGGTACCGTTATATGGACCAATATAACCCAGCTGGAACTTCAAAATATCCATGATTTGTTTTCGGGAAGTCATTATTATCATTTTTATCATTATTATTATTATTATTATTATTATTATTATTATTATTATTATTATTATTATAATTTTTATTATCATTATTATTGCTTTTTAATCCTTACTCCGGATTCTTGATCGGAAACTCCATTAAAAACCTGTGATACCTTACAAAAATTATAATATATTGGAAAACCCTCTTAGGTCCAAATCGGGACTTCAATTTTCTATTAAAATTGGAAATATTTCTTAAAGAAAGACGAAAAGTCGGGTGGACCGACTTTATGATACACAACACTACTATTGTTTAACAAATTCACGTTTATAGCCTTTAAGTCCTTGAAAAATATTCTTTAAAAAAATCCACGTTTATAGCCTTGCAAGCCCTTGAAAAATATTCTTTAAATAATCCACGTTTATAGCCTTGCAAGTCCTTGAAAATATTATTTAAAAAATCCACGTTTCTAGCCTTGCAAGTCCTTGAAAAATATTCTTTAAAAAATCCACCTTTATAGCCTTGCAAGTCCTTGAAAAATATTCTTTAAAAAATCCACGTTTATAGCCTTGCAAGTCCT